TCCTCTCCTCTCCTCTCCTCTCCTCTCCTCTCCTCTCCTCTCGTTTAAATGATGAATATAAAACCCCACTGACAATGTAAACACAATAAATCTAGCAATGTATGAATCCAAAACTATTCTATTTGGAATATAATAAAGGAAATAAGTTTTACTCAGCTAATCTGATAAACAGAGTAAAACCTTCCTGTTACTACACCCCACTCCAGCAGCAGCATGTGTTCAATAGTCCTCCAGTTCATTCACAAGTCATGGTGTCTGTTCACTTTCCGTCAGAACTGCTTGAAGTCAGCCTTTCCCACAAAGGCCTTTGTGGGCGACTCTCTATCCAGTCCTCCCTGAAGAAGTAATCTGTTGCCATATACACACTGTTTTTATATTTCCTGATGTTCCTCAACAGCAAGCATCTTCTCCTCTGAAATACCTTGGTGTCAAGGATTCCTGGATTGATGAGTACAGAGGAGATGAATCTCCACTTATGCTGCAGGGGCTGGCTTTTCATCATCTTTATTTCAAACACTGTATCATACAGGAAGGGCATCTCATGCTCGGGGAGGTAGAGAAAATCTCCACTTCTTTTAAGTGTGCTTCCTTTTGGTGAGAAATAGATTATTTGGCATATCTGAGATTATTACTTTATTCAAACTACTTAAGCAGTCAGAACTGAAAATTGCACAGAACAGTTTGTCCACATCACTCTTGAAGTGTATGATAACTTCATCCAGCATGCAGTTACATGCCCTAGCATAAGCATTTGCCTTTTTTTTTCTAGCATTATATAGTACTTTCCACTGTAGTTACATGAGAATATAAACATAATGATTTGATTTCTAAGCCTTCCACAATATGTTCCACGTGATTTTTCTTATCCTGAATTTTTCATTGGTATCTAGAGAGCATGATTCTTCCAATTGTTGACTGTTTTCATAGTAACAACAGTAACTCTTCTTTTTTTTTCAAATTCCAAGTATTTGTTTTAAAACAGATATCAATCAGTACGATCTGTTCTGGTTGTTCGCTGTGTATAGGCTTTACATGGGTAATATCAGAAAGGTGAGAATGCATGACAGACTCCTGTCAGGGCAATTTCACATGACTACACATTTGCCCTTCAGCTTCTCTTTCCTTTTCTGCTGCTTGCTTTTTTTACCATCAATTTGTAAACTCACAGTCCTGCGTTTCTCTAAGTTCAAAAGCTCTTGGAATAACTCCTTTACATTGTGGTTCAGCTTGGCAGAGGTCTCCATGAACGCACATTTCCACTTCTTGGCCATAGCTTCTCCTTCACTGCTTTCTACCTCTCTGTTTTGGTTCTCATCATTTTTGTTCCCCACCAGCATTATTGGAATGCTTTCTATATCACCTTTAATCTGACATATTTGTTCATAGATTGGTTTAAGTTCCTCCAAAGACTGTCGGCTGGTGATAGAGTATACCAAAATGAAAGCATGTCCTTTAGAAATAGAAAGACGTTGCATGGCTGGAAATTGATGGCTCCCTGTAGTGTCAGTTATCTGCAAAGTGCATATGCTTTTATCACAACTGATCACCTGCCGGTAGGTGTCTTCAATGGTGGGGATGTAGCTCTCTCTGAAAGTGCCTTTCACAAATCTCAACACCAAAGAACTTTTGCCAACTCCTCCAGCCCCAAACACAACAACCCTGTAATCATTGCTTTGCTCCGGCATGTTTCTCAGTGTGTCTGTTGTTCAGCTAGAGGGGAAAATCTAGGAAAGAAAATAGCAAAAAATAACGATATTAATGCAGCTAACTTCAGTAATTCGAATTTATATTTCCCAGTATGAGAAATAAACACGGTAGAAGTGATGTTATGCATGTTGCAGAGTTACAGTTTGACCTGGATAAGTAATAAACGAATATCTTCATCACTTATTTAAAATGAGCATTGTGATTTTAAGTTATATTCCTACTGGAATAACATTTCCAAAGCAAAAAGCTACATATGGGAACTGGTATTTCATCATGGCCATCCTGAACAAACTGAGCAGAAGTGAGACTGAACTCCTCCTTTTTATTCCAAAAAGTGTCTCAAATCATTGTTAAAACAGACTGCTAGATATGTGTATGACAGTCAGAGAATCACTGAATCATTAAGATTGGAAAAGACCACTAAGATCACCTAGTTCATCTATTAGACCATTACTCTGAACATGCCATCTCTTCAGCAGCTAGGGAATTAATTTCCATTGCCCCTAGACAACACAACTTCATGACTTGTAAAATGTATCTGCAGATTAGCTGGAGTACTGCATCCAGATCTGGGGCCCCAAATATGGGAAAGATGTGAAGCTGTTGGAGAGGGTCTGGAGGAGGGTCGCAAAGATGACAGAGGGCTAGAGCACCTCCCCTATGAAGACAGGCTGAGGGAGCTGAGCTTGTTCAGCCTGGAAAAAAAGAAGGCTGTGAGGAGACTTCATTGAAGCCTTCCAGTATTTAAAAGGGGATTATAAAAAGGAGGGGAATCAATTTTTTTCAAGGGTAGGCAGTGATAGGTCGAGGGGGAATGGTTTTAAGCTCGAGGAGGGATGTCAGGGTGAAGTTCTTTACAGAAAGTGTGGTGAGAGGCTGGAACAGCTGCTTACAGAGGTTGCAGATGCTCTGTTCCTGGAGATATATTCCAGACCAGGTTGGATGGGGCCACGGGCAACCTGGCCTAGTACCAGATCTGGTGGTTGGTGGCCCTGCCTGTGGCAGGGGGGTTGGAACTTGGTCATCCTTGGACTCCCTTCCAATCCAAGCCATTCCATGATTCTGTGATTCTGTTTCTTCGCCTTTCTGCCCATTGTATTTATGACTTGCCTCTTATGTTTGTATTTGAGGCATTAATAATATATTAATTCTCTATCACTCCAGAAGAGACAGAGAGACAGAGTTCTTTACATAATAAATACCTTCAAAAAGTTCTGAAAATGAACTGACTTGTATACTTCCCTCTACAGTAAAATTAGGTTAGAATATCTGGCAAGAATACAGACAGAACATTAGAATCCAACAGGGAACCCACCTACAGGAAGGGTCGTAAGGAGCATCCAGTGAACTACAGACCTTTCAGCCTCTGTATCAGGGAAAGTCATGATTCAGATTGTCTTGAGTACAATCACATGGCATGTGGAGGACACCTAGGTATCAGGCACAGCCACCATGTGTTCATTAGAGAGGTCTTGATTAACTAACGTCGTCTGCTTCAATTATCAGGGGATCCTGCTGTGGATGAGGGAAAAACTCTTGACATAGTCTACCTAGACTTCAGCAAAGCCTTTGACACTGTCCCAAAGTATTCTCTTGAGGAAGCTGGCAGCTTAAGTCCTGGGCAGGTACTTTGCTGTGCAAAAAACCAGCTGGAGGGCTGGGCCCAGAAAGTGATGGTGAATGGAGTTAAATTCACCTGGCGGCCACTCATGAGTTGTGTTCCCTAGGAGTTGGCACTGAGGCCTGTCCTGTTCAATGTCTTTATTGATGGTCTGGGTGAGGCTATTGTATGCTCCCTCTGTAAGTTTGTAGATGGCACCAAGCTGCAGGGAAATGCCAGTCTGCCTGAGAGTAGGAAGGCCCTTTAGAGGGATCTGGACTGGCTGCATTGTGGGGCTGAGATCAGGGAGATGAAGTTGAAAAGGATCAAGTTCTGGGTCCTGCACTCTGATTACAAAAACCCCAAGCAGCACTACAAGCGTGGGGCAGATTGGCTGGAAACCTGTGTGCAGGAAAACAATTTGGGGTATTAGTTGTCAATCAGTTGAGCATGAGTAGCAGTGTGCCAGATGGCATCCTAGATTGTATCAGAAACAGTCGGCAGCAGGAGGAGCAGGGAGGTTATCGTCCTTCCGTACTCAGCACTAATGAGGCCACACCTTGAGTACTGTGTTGAGTTTCAGTCCTCTCAGTCTTCTGAGTTTCCTCTCAAGAAAGACACAGGTTATGGTGTGTGTCCAGAGAAGGGTGACGAAGCTGGTGAGAGGTCTGGAACACAAGTCTTACGAGGAGCAGCTGAGGGAGCCAGGATTGTTGTTTGGAGGAGACTGAAGAGAGACCTTAAAGCTGTCTATAACTATCTGAAAGGAGATTGTGGTGAGGTGGAAGCTGAACTCTTCTCCCAGGTATCTATCAACTGAATGAGAGGGATGTGCTACGGGATTTTTAGGTTAGGTATTAAGAAAAAAACTGTCTTAGAAAGAGCAGTCAAGTATTGTAACAGGCTGCCCAGAGAGCTGATGGAGTTATCATCCCAGGAGGCATTCAAGAAACATGTAGATTTAGTGCTTAGTGGGTGTAGTGGTAATGGATTGATGGTTGGACTTTTAGAGATCTTTTCCAACCTCAGTGGTTTGATGACTCTATGATCATATAAGCCATTGCTGCTGGTAAAATTCTTCTCCTTTCATAATTGAAAGCAGTTAAGAAAAAGATACTCATTACAGATCTGTCACAGTTTTGGTTTTGTTGCAGCGTTTTCACCATGTTGCATTGTTAGAATTCCATCCAAAGACACATTGCAAATTTCTTTGAAACTTTTTGGCTAGATGTTTTAGAGCAGTGCTCATTTCTATAAAAAATCTTATCTAACTTGTTATCCAGAGCCAGAAACTTTGATCCAGTTCTTGAGCTCTTATGACATTCTACTGAGATATCAGTTTGATATACAGTACAGCATTTGTCTGATGCTCTGTGTTTATTTCCTGAAAGCTCTTCTTCCTCAGGCAAAATCATCTCATGTCAGTCAGATTTATTTATTTATTTATTCATTCATTAAGCCTAGGGAAACATTCCTGTATTCTCATGGTTATTATGAAAATCCAATGAAATTTCAGCAGTGCATTTGGTTCAAAACGTTACCTGAATGTAAAACAACAGTCCGTAAGGCTATCTAGTGATGATACCATTTTGCAGTGATACATGATGGAAGGTGGACCCAGCCTCAGTAGAAAATGCTGTTAGAAATACGGTGGCTTAGAGCATAGTTTATGGAGACAACAAGGGTGAAAAAGATAAGCGGGATGAATGAGGAGAGAAGAAGGCCTCTGAAAGGATTTTTTACATATCTATAGAAAAATATTTCTGTGGGAGTATTATCACAATGTTTGCCAATGAATATAGACTTACAGAATGGGGATTTTATGCTAATGGTATTTCCGTCTTTTAATGCAATGCAATATATAATTTGATTCTTTTCTGTTCTTGCTTAGACTTTCTTATCAATGAAAATCTTGGCATATTTGAAAGCTGAACAGCTTCAAAAGGCATTTAAAACAGCTTTTCATTGCAACATGAGGTTGTAGTGCATTTGGAAAGCACTTTTTTATTCCCACGCTGAACAAAGTGTTCTTTGAAAGCATGCTTCCTGATAATCAGCCAGTATAAATTGTGATTTCTTCACTGCAGGAATGTTGTAATGCTTGATTTACGTCAGTTCTGGTTTTTAGGCACACATTGTTCTTGCTATCTTTGTAAGCAGATATGAATATTTTAGTACTGTCAAAGTATTTGTTGAAATGAACGTTAAAAAAATAGATTAAATAAAATTATATTAAGTAAGACACTATTTACTCATAACTGTTACAACTTTTTAAATACCTTCCTAAGACAAAATTATAGGGAAACATTTTAGACCATAGCAAAATAAAGTCTTGAAATGCAAAGAAATCAGTTACATAACTTCAAAATAACAATATGCTGCATTTTGTTCAATGTATTTACACAGTGCCAGATTTCTTTGGGGCTTCCTCACTTGCATAAACAGAAATGATACCAAATGAAAATTTTACCAAGGGTGCACTGATGTTCTACTGGGTGTCACTTTCCGGTTTGTGGATTGGGTAATCTTAAAATTAAAAAAAAAAAAAAAAAAAGAATATCTACACTCAAGGTCTGTTTGAATTCATCTCTACTTTTGGCATGTTAGATACTTCACTTAATTGGAACTACTTTCAGATTTATTTATCTATTGGAGTATTTGGTAAAGCAGTATATTAATATTTTAAGTGCTTAGAAACAAATGTCACTGAGCAACCTTAGAGATACTGCATGTATGTAGATAGGTATTTGTTAATTCAACACAGAAATAAAAATGTTGAGAAAACAGCACGGTATTAAATCTCTATGGAACCCATACACTTTTATTTGATTTTTCTCCCCATCGTAACAACTGGTTTTGTTCAGTTTACCATGAATTTAATTCATCCTACTAAAGAAAAAATTACAATTTTATATATTAACTTTTCACCCCTTAATGCCATTGGATAGAGCTGTAGAACTTCTCACTGAAATGTTTCACTCATATGAACATTTGACTAAGTCTCATCTCTCAGACTGTTTTTTAAGAGCAGATGCTCTTTATGGGTATGACGTATGACTATACACGCTGTGGTGAACTTCTCTAGATGCCCACTACCCCTCAAAAAGAAACTTATTTTTTTCTGTATCTAACAGAAAGATGTGTGGGCTAAAAGATTTCCTTAATGAAGAAAAAGTTAGAAAAATACAGGAAAAAAAAAAATCAAAACCACAATTTCTCAAGTAAACGTTTGGCTCTAAACGCTTTGGGCGCTAATCCCATATATTATGAGATTCATGATAAAAACATAAGCATATAAAAGTACAAATTGACTCATAACAATGTGCATGTTCTTGGATGACTGTTTCTGTTCAGCAGAAAAAACTGTACAAAGATCAA